AACTACAGTGTCCACATTTTTAAATCGTTGAGATATTATCACAGAAGCTTTTCGAAGATCCCGTCGCTTCCATTGGTTTGAAAAGTCGTTTCAATAAGAGTACAATTCGATACAGGGGGGACTAATTAAATCGGCGTGAAATTATTTATCGCGTAACAAGTTGCTTATTTATCGTCGATTAATTTTGCCTGTATCTCGATCGTGGCACCGTCGGATATAACACTCGAGACTATAAAAGGACGAGCATGAAAGGATCCTGGGTAAGAGGTTGTAGGGGAGGGGGAAGCCGTGTCCTGACCTTATCTAGCGACGTTCGAGTACCTTGTAACGCCGGTGCAACGTCGCGTAATTATGGTAGACAGGAGTAATTGCTCTCAGGAACTGGGAAGCAGTCCAAGTTCCACGTATATCGGGACACGGGTAAACTCTGTAAACTCGATAGGTCGTGTAACACGAGGACTCCAGTCGCGAAACATGCTATGAAAACTGCTGCTAACCATTTCCATAACGAATCTTCGAATGTTTACCTCGCGGAGGTTTCATCGCTCGGTTTGCTCGATGGATGGATTCCGATGGCGAGGAGAAAACGGATTCGCGGCGATATTATTCAGCTTTGCGTGATTGCAACTTGGAAATGGTCCGACACGATCCACTTAACGATTTTGTCCCATCGTGCTCTTCGTTTGCGTAAATACCGAACAGGGTTCGAGGGGTGCTCGAGGGAGTTTAGATTTAAATCAAAAGTGGCCCAGAATAAATAAATACCCAGCACTAATTTGTTTATTGAATTTTAACGTCACAAACAGTAATTCATATTTCTCTCCAAGTATTCTCAGAATTAATTACTTTAACATCGCGTCATTATCAAGAAAGAAATTTCTTCTATGTTCCAGTTTGTCTGTGGTAATGAACTAATGTAATTAAAATTAAACAACTTTTCTGTAGGATTTCAAACAAAATTACTAAAAATGAAAAACGAATTTTTAAGAAAAAAAAATATTTTTAGCGAAGAGGATTAATTGCAATTATTTATGGAGTATAGTCATACCCTCGAAATCTTACTGACTTTCTAGAAAAAAATTCGAGTAGGTGCCTAATTTTTTAACGAAATTAAAAAGTTCCAAATCGTTCTGAAAAAATTATTTTTAGCTAAGGGGATTGATTGCAATCATTTTCGGTGAATAGACATACCCCCGAAATCCTACCCACTTTCTAGAAAAAAATTCCCATAAAAAGCCCCATAAAAGTGGTTCAATTTTCAAACGAGCATAACTCCTACAATAGTGAATATATTTCAATGAAATTTGTTTCTGAAGTAGAGCTCATGGGTACCTACAAATAAGTATTAGACAACTTTCCTGTAGGGCGTCAAAAAAAAATTACGAATTTTTCAGAAAAATAACTCATGTGGCGGTTAGGAATTACGACTTTGATCTTGTAGATTCTTTACTAATTTTCTTTAGCAGTAAAGGAACAAGGTGAATAAATTTTATCGACAATTTTCTATGAATTGAAATTACGGAAGGCGGCTTGTGGGATACGCGTGCGATCGAATACGAGTTGTTCTGCTATGTCTGTCCACTACCCACTGTTTTTGCTTATACCGAAGTCCAAATCGTATTTCACTGTAAGCACGCACAACGATATATTTATTTATAAAACGAATCCTCAAATGAACAAATTTCATTGTTTTTTTATTGTAGCGATACGAATTATTTGACCTGGTTCTCAAAGTATAGTTTAAACTAAAATGTTTTACATAAATTCTCTGTTCTTGTGCCACGTGCGATGCAAAACATCAAGTGGAATTTTTTTCAATAGTTTATTCAATCGATTAGTCTACAAATTTAGATGAGATTGACTTGTTAATCTCCCACCGAGGAAAACAAGCAATAATGGAACATTGTATGCAGATAGTTTAGTAGAATCAAAATGGCCATAATTTGCTAGAGAAAATAGCTTTTCTGAAGATGAGTTGAATCCTGATTTAACAAATGTTGATAGTTGCTTATAGAAATATCTAATTAATATTTCTTGTCTAGTTGACTTCATAACTAGGTTTGAAGAGTTTCGAGTATTTCAACCCCACTCTTTTCATTTGTTTTATGTCTCTCATCCACCATCCAAGTAACAGCCTTTAATAATTAAAAAAATTAAAACGGAAACAAGGTGTACCATAAATTGTCCGCGTATTTATCCGTAATACGTAATTTTTTACATACTGTTAGGGACAATAGAGGAAAGTATCGAGGCACCATTGTACGTGGAATCGTGTCGCAGTCATTAATAATATTTAATCTCCCCCGCAAAAGCTGCGGGAGGACGAAGAGGGACATAGGGGTTTACCTGGTTTCCAAGGAGGGCGGTGGGCATTATCTGTTCACGACCGGTCTCTAATTCGCATAATTCGGTTTAGGCCAACATTAGGAGCGACGTTTATCCGACGCTCCCGTGCTCGTAAAAACGCGCCCATCGCTGGCGGCCCTGGAATTTACGAGCATCGTGGCCACATGCTGGTTCCTCGTCTCTCTCTTCTTCCTTCCTGTTCCACGTCGTCTCCGTCGCTTTCCTGTTTGCAAAAATTACCTGCACGAAACGAACGAGGTTGGATAGCGGCCGCGATACGTAATCGGCCACCAGAATTGCGAGTCCTCGTCGTTTCGGGGGACCAGATATCAGGAATTTCGTGGTAACGTTCGCAGCGGGCCGAAATGTATTAATTTCTGGGCATTCAATTATCTCGGGAGCGGATCGACCAAATAAGTTGAAATTTCGTACGATAACTTCTACATATGGGCCATTAATGCTATTAAATTTTGGAAAACATAGGCAAACGAGATGGGAGATAACGAATCGTCGATATCGTATCTCCGGCGACGATATGAAAATTGTATTCGTATACCATTTTTTAGCATGCCTATGCAATACGACATTGGTCGAAAAATTAAACAATTCATCTCACCCCGGAAAATTCCAATTTTTATTTATTTTCATAGCTTTTCATTGGTCGAAACTCTCTTTGTTGTAGTCTGATTTAACGATTTTATCGAAGATTCTATTAAATCGTTATTCGACATTCAATTTTCTCGCGTACGAATTATAATAAATAATGACAGTTTTAGACTATGTAGTTATTAATTGTCAAAACATCAGTAGTATTCAAAAAATGTTCGCGAATTCCTCATTCGTCAGCAACGGAGAACAACGTTGCAAGCGTAAGAATAAAAAAGGGCAGTTTAAATTTGCATCCGTGCATCATTTTTCTAACGCTTCGTTCCACCTGCGACAGCGCGCGTGATTCGTTTTCGCGCGGAATTATTTTCCCAGAAGAACGCGGAAGATCGTACCGTCTAGTGTCAGCCATGACAGATAAGAAATTATTTACTGCAGATTGCATCGCGGCGATATCGTTTATTTTCGTCATTCCTCGTGCATCGTTTCTGATAGACAGCGTTTCAGTGTAGACGCGAAGCTGATTGTACCATTTCGAGACGAGGACGGGCGATTTTCAATGCAAAGTAATTCGACGCTAGATGAACCTAACGGTATTTGTTGGCTGCATAAAGATGGTAAAGAATAACTGTGGGAATTAAATAAATATCCCCCCGGTGTGATTCACGCGGCTTGGATCGCGAGCAGTGGGCGCATTTCTGAGTACACTCGCGAGGATACGGACGAGAATAACTTTTTCTATAGAATGTGGTGAAAATGTGGTTTAACGTTTTATTCGTAGTAATCTCATTCAGAGTATTGCAAATTAAATACAGTAAATGGTCCAACTTAATTTCACATAATGTGATCGATAGTCTAGGCTTTATTTGTCTATACAAATACGAGATAAACGATCGCAAATAAAAATCAGTGATTCTTCATACATGACATTCAGAGAAAAAGAATCATATGGGAACATTTGTCATTCGTTATTTTTCTACTCCGATAATTTTTCGGATAAAACGTCTTCGTGTCATAGAGTTGTTCGATCTTCCAAAGTATCTCAGCACCGATAGTGGTTGTTGAATTACAATTAGAGACAAACGAGTTCAAGATTGCGAGTATTGGATCGCAAGACCAAAGTCTTAGATATCGACACCTGCGAGTCGAGAGTTGTATTGGATCTTGCGAATCCACGATTATCTATATTACGTCTCATGATTCCGAAGTCGCACATATTGAGTCCGGAATCGTACGTATGTACCATGTTTCGTAAGAGGATTTCTGGATCATTTCTATTGTATTCGGGTTAATCAACACCGTGTACCAGTAGTCCGTGATTGTCTATATCATGTTCTATGAATTCCTGATCGCGAGTATCGGATCACTCGAGAACAAGGTTTTCTGAGAACTACAACACAAACAGCACTGATTGTACAAGGTGTTTCATAACGTGTGATGGAACTGTGAACAGGGTAGATTCAAATGAACACGTGCTCTGTTTGACATTGTTCCCAAGCGACAGCCATTTTTGTACTTATTTTTTATCCAAATCTTTGGATGTCTTGTCATAGAATTTTCTAATTTTCCAAATATTCCAAGTATTTGATCGAATTCATTGGCAGTCTTTTCGTATACGTTCTCGAAGTATTTCGGCACCGGTAGTGGGTGTTGAATAAACAAATGTTTTTAAATGGCTCCAAAAATAAAAATTCAGTGGATTTAGATCTGACGAACGAGCACACGAGGCTATTAGTCCTGCACGATCTATCCATCTGTTAGAAAATCGTTAAGAACTGTCTTGTTGCTCGATAAATTTGTTAATATTACTAAAGATTGACTGAAAACAACGGAAATATAACTGGTCGAATTCTACGATTTTGCTTCGAAGATCGACTCTCTTTTTCTATTTCTAATAAGATGGATATCAATGATTTTTAATAAAAAGATGGAAGTCAAGTTGCAATTTTGAGAAAATAGTATTTTTCATAAGTGTGGCACCTCTGATCTAATTGAATCTGAAGCTATTGTTCCTTGTCACTAACTTGATTGTTTTTTTTCTGTTTCAGGTTAGCCACAAGAATTTAACATAGACGAATCCACAGCTAATTTTTAAAGAAATTTCACGACACAGGTATTTAACTACTCATTGTTGACTGAGAAATATTCGTTTAGCTAATTTCGAAACGTATTTGAGACAGAATCGATAATAGTTTTATTTCTCAATTTTGAAACTAAGATTCAAAATTTTGTATCAAATTTTGATCTTGTGGTATTTGTGAAAACTGTGCAAAGTATTTAAAAAAAAACGAAATAATTTTCTCAGTTTATCGGTGTCAAAATGGTTCTATGATTCACCACAATCGAAATTTTTATTTTTAATATAACTTCTGTTAAATGAATGTATCATTTTGCTCGTTTCTGTGGAAATTGAAACAGATGTGGGTATCCGTGGCTCGGGGATATAGAAAGTACAAGTTGACCCTTCGATCAAAATTAGTTTGACGTAACTGCGTTAGATGTTATCGTAAACATTACTGCATTTACTATGCGAGGAATTCGAACAGTAGTGCTTCTCTAGAGTGCGTGTAGGAGATGGAGGAAACTAACCTAAGATCCGAGAAGTCGATAGCGATGGCCGAGAGTGGTTCAAGTTATTGATCATCGTGGCAGGAGATGTACCCTTGGCTTGCAGGTGCACCAACGCGGCGCACTATCGAGAGACGCAGTTACTACCCCTGCAGGACCTTCGTCGCTCCTAACGAAAGTCGTTTTCCGATTTATTCTATAACAGTGTCCCTCAAACTAATCTATAAACGTGTTGGCGAGAACCTGCAAGCTCTCAAAATATAAAAAGAAAGTGAAATAAATCAAGAAACAATTAAATTTATTTTTGTTTATCATTCGTGACTTCTGGTTGAAACTAATCAATTTTTTTATTTTTTTATATTATTCCGTACGAAAATTCATTTATTATTAAATGATGAGAAAAAATTTCTTTTATTTGAGAAACACTGCTCTATAATATCTACTACACTCACGTGGAATCTGAACTCGCGTTGAAATTAAAAGAAAAATATTTCGTCTCAATAATGCATTACTAATCGAGGAAAATAACCTCTGTTATGAGATTACAGCGTGAATAGTAGCACAGTGACGAATATTAAGATAAATGGCGCCAGAGATAGGATCAACTCGTTAATTAATACTTCTGTCACGAGCCGCAGGTTACAAGCTGTGATCGAATTTCGCGAAAAATGAAACGTTGCACGCGAAAACGTGCAGAAACGTTTTATTTTACATTTTTCATTCGTTTCCGGGGCTGGAAAAATCATTTTATTTCCCGTTCGTAACGTTTTATCGAAACCGTACGGGAGACACAAATTGGTCGACAGCATCGAAATGTTTCCGCAAGATCCGCCGACTCGCGCTTTGATTGGAACCTAAATATAAGTTCATTTCAATTTCCGAGTTTTCGTTGCATTTTATTTTTACCGCCGCTAGTATTCGGCCGCGAAAACCGCTCTATCTATTTACATACAGCCACGAATAGCGCGCGGCAACGTTTGCAAAATGAAAAATGCAACAGCCCGGCAGGATGTGACGACAAAGTCTGGGCGCACCTGTACGACAACTCCTGCGCGTGCGTATGCGTATAAGAATGCACCTATTGTTAACAGATAGATCTTTGAACTTTGACAGCTACCAAAGTATCACCCTAGCAACTGGTCTAAACTTAAATCGAATAATTATCGTCAAATACATTGTCTCTGGAAACGCTCCAGTTAACGTTCGCTCGATACTCGAAGCTTACCTATCCAGGGACAAATTATTTCGTTCGAAATAATTAAAAATTCCAACGACGATTTAATTATCCTGCGGAGATGTTGCTAAGCTGGATAATTTAATTACGAATACTTAAGTAAATTAGAATACCTTTAATGGATTTTAATCTACGAGGAAAATCTTTTTAAATAAAAAATGAAATAAATACTTCGGTGAACACATTTATGAAAATATTGACTCGGATGGGTAATTATTATCACGCGGAGCGACGTATTGGCCTGTGTTGAAAATCAATATTCAGAGCAAAGCTCCGGGCAAAAGTTAGTTTACGAACGAATATAAAATATCTATTCTTTGTTCGTGAATTAAATTTCCCCGACTCTGACGCACGCCATCGTCCCTTGTTATTTCGTTTTCAATTTCTTTTGTTGCACACCGTTATCATATTTCGCATAATATTTCACGAATCTCGTTTCGTTCGTGTGACAACGATTCCAAACAATTTCTCTCTGTGTTTGTATCCTTCTCGTGGTCTTAGACCATTCGTAAATCTCTCGGTCGGTTCCACGTCACGTTGTGCAATAATAATATTCCATTGCCAATTATACGTAACTCTCTGACGCATGTTGAGCACTAGCGTCGGCCCGCCACGATCCACCATGGACGTGTATTGCGTTTGGACATTCCTAGACAAGTTCTATTACACGTTTGACGTGGCTGACCGGAGGAATAATTCCCGAAGCGCGGTTCGTGGTTGGATCTTCTTGCGTGAGATCTTTCGCGCGAGGATGGTGACTTTTGGTACGTCGAGGACCACGAATCGAGCGCTAGGTGACTCTCGTTTAACAGAAAAGTGTTTGAACGTCGTTGGATTAAAATTTCCTCGCCGAGCAGGAAGCCAAATACGAGAAAAATTAATTAAAAGATTCTTGGTTCCGGTTCTCTCGGTAGTTGATGAAAGCGGAAAGGAAAACTGGGTCCTCGGAGCATAGAACAGTGGAATATTAATATTTAAAGCGACGACGTAGTCTGTTGTATTTTGGTCCCCTTCGAGTCGAACCTTTGATCCTACGAAATCGTTTGACAATAGAAGAAATTTAACAGGAAAGGAATTTCATAATTATTATTATTTGCAATAAAATCAAGCATTCCTTTCTAGATTTAGGAAATATTTTAGCGACAATAAGTCGAGGTCACAGCAAAGATAATTAGAGGATTTATTCAAACGAGAGGAGGAATGTTTTCGTATAAATTAAGTATTTAATAAAACTCCTACCATATTCAATCCACACTCTTTGTGTAGATTTATATCGTGATTAATTTCATTCATAAAAGTCTGTCGTTCGTTTTGTGTGCATCGAAGTCTCGTGTGAAACCAAAAATTAAATATCAATAATGATAATATTATCGGTATATGTAGACGCAGGGTATTATTAGTTTCTATTTTCTTTTTGTTTAAAACGATAAATAACCGGCTTATACGTTACCTATTAACTTGGAGAAGTTCGATTTGCCCTTTACTCTCTTCGCATGAGCGATCGAGGATGCACAAACATTCTCTCGGTGCACGGAAAATGGATGCATGTGTTTAATGGGTGCATACGTACATTTAATGGAAACCGAGGATTTAATAGAATAATTCTTGCCTGAGCGTAACTTTAATTAGAATAGTTAATGTATGGCTCGTCGGATTACTGAAATTAATTAAAAGGGAGACGTGAGTGTTTGTCAGAGTCGCTTAATGTCGCGCGAGTCATTAGAAATTTTGTATCGTAATTAAGTATTCGACGCGCTTGTCATTACCGAGCATCGTTTCGTCAGCACTGCAAAGAAAATCAAGCATAATTACTTCGTATATTCATACTTTGTTGTTGGTAATTCGACAAATGGCCTGTGCTCGTTAATATAAGAAAATTTAAACAAATCTATTATTCTATTCGATCCTAAGAAACTCGAACTTTGAATCCATATAAAGATTCTTCTTTTTCTTACATTCATATTTCAATTTAATTAATGTTATTATAGCTATTTACGTTGTTACTTAAAGTGTGTAGTATTTTTCTAATAAAACCTATATTTTCCTTTCAAAAGCTACGTAGCGGACGAGCAAGAACAGTTTCTTACAATTTACGTAATAAGAACATTTGCACCAGTAAATAATTTGATTTTTACAAGCTGTTTTATCCATCATGTATAAAGATGATCGTAAACAGCGTCTCGTCGGCAATAAGAGCGATAATTATATATATTCGAAAGTGCTTCCTCCGCTAAACACTCTAACAGTCGTTTCAGTTCGCTCGCGTAGAAACTGAAACTTCGTTTTCACGTTAGCAGGGATAATTTGATACTCCGTTTCTTTAGCAACACTTGTTTCCGCTTGGGAAATTACGAGTGGAACTTCCCGATTTCCAGCAGCATGCATGAACAGTTCGGAAGGTGTCGAACGTGAAATGTTGCGTTGCGTCGAGATTCAGTTAATAATTAGTTTGTTCTCGGGGAGACGTACAACTACGGGAGAAGTTGTATTTAACGGCTTCGACGGTCGTTATTTTCGTTCTCGAAATGCAAATTACATGCACGATTTTTACAACGTTACGCGCGCTGCATATTTCAGCCTCGAGTAGTAATTTGTAACGTTTCGTGTTTAATTTCACCCGTTTATTAACGCGACGAGCGTGTTTACAATTTGTCTTTTGCAAAATGATTTCCAATTTCGCTTTAACGTGGAAGCAATTGCGAACTACGTATCGTCACATTGTCCAATGTTTAATGGCATTCGCGTAATGAAATATGCTCTCTATAGCTGGTATAATAAGCTACTGTTCCCGTAAAATGAAACGGCAACGCGCAGTAAATATTGTATTCTAGATTTCAATAGAACCCAAACGATCCGGGGAAAATGTAATGAAACGTATAGGATCATTTTTGAAACAGTTATTATTAAAGTTTCGAATAATTCCTTTTTGTTTCTACAAAGATAGTTTTCTAGAAAATTATTTGTTCAAACGTAGTAGTTTTTTCCATTGGTGGAAACTGGTTATAAAGCTCGTTCTTATTGTCATTTTTAATAATATTTGTACTACGTCGAGCGATTGATATCGAGTGCTCTTCATCGGAATCAGAGCTCGTCATGGAGTCATTTGATCTGGAACTAATGTCTCTTATTTTAATAGCTTTTTGCTTCTTCCAACACAACGGTTGTAATTCCATATTTTAGAACTGGAATTTTATGAAAGGAACAAGAAAAAACAAAATATTCGATATTTCATCATTACAAATACATTCATATTTATTGTGCAATTTATAATAGTTTTCAGATAATCCTTTGACTTAAAAAACGAGACTAAT